TGTCTGGCTTTCTCCCCTATTTCCTATAGTGTGTTGTTTTTGTGGTTGTTTTTCTTTCTGAAATTTAATGTTATTCTGATTTTTATAATAAATAGTTCTCTTTGTCATGATTAAGTGTTCATGTTTTAAGCTCAAATAATGCTGTTTTTTGCACAGCTTCTTTCCCTTAAATTATCTGATAGGTCTTTGCCCATTCTTATTAAAAAAAAAAAAAAAAAACTCACTGCTATCAAGTTGTTTCCAACTCATAGCAACACCCATTGGGTTTCCAAGGCTGTAAATAATTATGGAAGTAGATCACCCCACCTTCCTTCCGCAGAGCAGCTGGTGGATTTGAACTGCAGACTTCCAGTTAGCAGTCAAATGCCTTATCCACTATACCACCAAAGCTCCTTCATTCTTATAAACACCATATAAATAAGTTTTACTTTGTGACCCCATCTGAGACTCATCTATCTTAAAAGTTTATACTGATACTTCCATTAAATATCTATCATTTAAAATTTATCTTTGATCCCCCATTATAAAAATGAGGAACTAATCCAACTTCCATCTTCTCTTCCCCACTGTCTTCTTTGCTTCCTGGCTTTTGGTATCTCAGTTCTACATTGTTTATCGTTTCCATACATATTCAAGACAGAAGAGGAAGTAAAAAAATATCTTCTCTCTGCCAAATTAAAACATAAGTTTGAAAAATTTATTTAAACATGATAAAAGAGAAGATATCCAAATTCATGATGTTATTAATCAATCTGAGAAATGCACAGTCAAACCATTCTGTGATACCACTGTATATCCTTCAGAATAGTTAAGATGCAAAACAAACACCAAGTGTTAGCAAGGAACTGGAGCAACTAAAACTGACACTGTCAGACAATGATGGTGGAATATAATTGATAAAAGCACTCCAGAAAACTATTTGGCAGTATCTGCTAAAACTGATTATATGTATATCTTCTGACCCAGCAATTCCACTCCTAAGTATAAACCTAACACTTACACATCTATATGCTCACTAAAAGAGGAAGTTCTTCATGGCATGAATTTCAATAACCTCAAACAGGAAATTCTTTCAGTAATCATGACAAATGGAATACAAAAATGAGTCAGGACATGTTTCCATGATGGAATACTAGATAGCAATGAGAATAAATGACCTACAACTGTATCTAACAACA